GGGGGGGTCGTTGGCGCCCCAAAGACCCCCCAAAAACCCTCCTGAACCCCCCACCCCAACTGCCCTAAAACCCTCCTTAATAACCCCCCAGCCCCGCCCCAGTTTAACCCCAGGCCCAGTTTGACCCCAGTCTGACCCGTTTAATCCCAGGAACAGCCCCAGTTTAAACCCTGCCTAATCCCATCCCACCCCAGTTTAACCTCGTCCCACCCCAGCTTAGTCCCATCCTACCCCAGTCCAACCCCAGTTTAACCCCAATCTAACCCCAGTCCAACCCCAGTTTAACCCCAATCTAACCCCAGTCTAACCCCAGTTTAACTCCAGTTCAACCCCAGTCTAAGCCCAGTTTAACCTCGTCCCACCCCAGTTTAGTCCCATCCAACCCCAGTCCAACCCCAGTTTAACCCCAGTCTAACACCAGTGTCCAACCCCATTCCAACCCCAGTCTAACCCCAGGTTAACCCCCGTCCAACCCCCGCCCAACCCCAGTTCACACCCGGCTGGGGCAGGCCGCCCCCCCCCGCGCCCCGCGGGCCGCAGGTTTTGATCCACGACGCAGAATCGCTCCCCGAGCACCGGCCCGAGCTCGAAGGGGAACTCCATGGCCCCCCCCGGGCCCCGGGACCCCCCGAGACCCCAAAATCCCCCCAATTCCCCCCAAATCCCGATCCCGGACCCGCCACGGCCGCGCCCGCGGCACCGAGACCACGCCCACCGCCCCAAACGGCCAATCAGAGGCCGGCATGGTACGGCCCAGCCAATCAAAACCGTTTCTTTATCCTCCCTTAGCAACCGAGTCCCGCCCTGTAGCAACCGCTGACCAATCGGAGAAGTCCACTCATCGCCTCTTAGAAACCGAGTCCCGCCCTTAGCAACCAACAGCCAATCGTTGCTTCTCCTTTACAGGCCCTTGGCAACTAAATCCCGCCCATAGCAACAGCCAGCCAATGGCGGAGGGACATGGCTCTGACCACCCAATCGTTATCGAGCTTTCACTCACCCTTAGCAACTAAGCTCCGCCCCTGGCAACCGCTCAGCCAATCGCTACTGCTCCTTCCCCGCTCTTAACAACGAAGCCCCACCCCTTCTTAGCAACCGGTTTCCCGCGCGGCAGCAAAGTGTGGCGGGAGGCGTCTCCCCCTCCCCGCAAGGCATTATGGGATACACTCCCTCACGCCCG